TGTCTTTCTTCGTTAGCAGATTATTTCTGAGAAAACTGCAGATTTTTCCATTTAAGTGAACCTCAAATTTTAGCTCTTATGACTGTACTTGAGATTATGACTTTTAAAATACAATGATTCATTTAAAAACATAAAAGTGACGTAATATACAGTGAAGAAAGCATCTAACAGAATGAGAGCATCAACATCGTCCTGCAGGACAGCTTAGACCACCAACAATTTCCATTTTAATGTAAAATAAACACTTTAATCCATTTGGCTGATAACACCAACATCATTTTACTTAAGTAAAGTTTGAAAGCAAAGATTTTACAAATGACTGGACACTGTTAATTCATGCCATTTTAACCTTTTTCAACAGTAAAATATGTGAGTTTTTCTCCTTTCACTGATTATTCTGAATTTTATTTCCTGTTTGAACACATCAGAACCAAAAGAAGCAGAAAATAAAGTACTAAAGTCTGCAGCCACGCCCTTTATTGATTTATACTGAGAAAAAAATAAAAGAAGATATTTTATGTGAGGAATCATTTCCAAGTGACGCCACAAGGCATCTGATGGCGCCACCATAAACACATTATTAATCTTCACAGCAGGTTGTGACCAAGAATAAAAATCATTTTTGATTTTTAGCTGTGGTCTTAGGCTCATTACTATAAACAAAAACTATTGTAAAAAACGCTGATAATTTTTTTAATAAGTTTCAGAAGTAATTTTGTTATGTTGTTATACCATAGTCACGTTCATAAGCATATTTGCTCATAGTCAATTGTAAAACCAAACACAAATCAACCCCAACAAAGGATCTATCGTAAACTCCTTAATGTAGAGATACTACAGTTCTACTTCATGATTTTGTAGAAATCTATTAAAGAGAAAATAAGTTTTTTTACCATGAGAATAAAGCTGAGCTCAGTGTTAGAGCAGTATATACATGTTATGCAACTTTTTATCTGTTTGTCTGCAAATAAAAGCAGATTAAGGTTGTTAAACTGTTGGGTCTATCAATATTTTACTTGTCACTCTTAGTCAATCTACATTTTTTACTTTTAGCTGTGAATAACCAAGTTTACGTGTGATTTGATATCACAGGAAATAAAAAAATCTGCAAAGTTACTCACCATACAAGCCATAAAAGTGACTAGAGCTGCAACACGGACCATGATTCCTGAGAGTCAGAGTCCTCACTTGTAACTTAACGGAGCGCACGGGGATCACTGTTGTCCTCCTGGGAGACACCTCAGACAGAAACAGAGGACTCTGCAGTGTCCAACTTTGTCCCTCCTCTCCTATCGTCTGTCTGTCCAAGAATGGGCAGGGTTGGGAATTAAAAAATACATTTTCACAGATCAGACGTCATTACGCCTGTGATGTCACACTTGTCTTATCTGGTCTGATGTAGCAGCTGACCAATGGCAGCAGCCGAAGATCAATTTCTCTATTAGATCATTAACATGGGCGCACTAGTGATAGGGTTGCTGGGGTGATTCAAAGCAGCTTGGTGAAACTATTTGGGGAGATCCAAAATCAGCAGCCACTCCTTGTTCTTCTCTAAGATCCATGAATACCTTTAGTTCATTCTGGTGATGACACACAAATTTAAAGATGTTGATATGTAGCAGATCATTTACTATAAAAGTAGATGATTTTTCGTCATCTGCCACCAAAGGCGAAAGAGTGACAATATTTTGTGTGTGTGTCTGTGTTGTGTTAGCAAAATATCATGCATTATTGGACACATTTAAAAGAAAAACTCGGAAAGTGTGCCATTTAAAATGGCTGCAACAGCCAGCTGAACTTAGAAAACATAACAATGGCTATAAAAGAATTGATGAACTTTCTGCTTAAATTTGGTGTGGTAGTACCTGAGAGTCATTAACAACACATACTCAATGCACGACACGTTACAGCACATCTTTGCGTAAATTTTTGGCATTAGCTCTTGGTGTCAGACTTGTTTGTCTGTTAGCAAAATATATCCCAAACTACAGTTTGGGTTTGAATGAAACTGTCAGAAAGTCGTCACTGGCTGTACGTCTACAAGTGATGAGCGCCAGCACATGTCATGAGATCCATAACGTCATTGAGGTTTGACCAAACAGCTATAACTCCATTGTTTATCATAATACGGTGATCTTAGCCTGAATCTCTGCTGTGAAATGCAGTGGGCAACATGCATTCCTTCAAAGAATGCTAGCCCTTTAATTATTTATTGTTGTCAGGGAGTTGTGTGTTGAAACGTACAAAACACTGCACTGAACATGACCTTTAGACCCTCATATACCTACAGTTGTAACGGTGCAGCATAAGTTAGTGAATGACTTGCTCAACACACCGAGCCGCTTCCTAACAACTTTTTTTTTTTTACCTGATACTGAACAGGCTGATAGCCGGCTTGCAAGGATTCAACGCGATAATCCATTTCCTGGATCATATTTTTTCATTTAGGACCATCTTTGCAATTAATGCTGTTATCTCGCGTCAAGGTCATGGCCAAGATAAAGCTAACGGTCCAGGTTATACCACAGGATCACCTCAGCAATCAGGGCCAAGGTGCAGAGACCCATTGAAATGTGTGATAAACAGAGATGGGGAAAAAGACAAGAAGAATTGGGCCAGAATTGCTGATGTTCTTTGTTTTTATCATATGCTGATAAAGTTGCAGTACTCTTTAGACATTTGCAACTTGGAAAAAAAAGACTATAAACTGCTTTAGACATAAATAAAACTAAAACTTTTGCAGAACTGAACTTTGTTTTTTGCCAATTTATCTACTGTTCATCAGTTTTCAAGACATTTTTGATGTGTCTTTTGCTAATAGAAAATAAATATGTAAGGTTGTTTGGGTCTGAATGATGAGATTATTTTGGTGTTTTATCATTAAGATTTATTTGGTGAGCTTTCTATTGGTTGCTGTGTTTCTAAAACCAAGCCACTCAGAAAATGATCCTCCCTCGTTTCTTTCTGAGTGATATCTGTCCAATGAAAGGAACTCACTCCCGTTATAATCACATTACAGCTCGAATGTAATTTAAGATTCTTACTGACACAAATTGATTTGTTTGTATGGTTCAGAAAGTTCCCAGAAGAGTTAGTTATTTTGCATCAAAGTTATATAAATTATTAAATGTATTTATTTTATTTTTATTTATTGAGTACTGTTATAATTTTACTAGTCGTTTTTTTAGCCAAGACAATAATGAACTTATTAACGCTGTATATTTACAACAACTGGCTTTAATTGTGTAGTATAGAATAATTTATTGAGACTCTTGGAACATGACATATCACCTCTGATGGTGCACAGTGTGGTTTCTGGAGCCAGTCTCCTTGAGAGCGGCTGGACCTTATTCCACTCTTGAGTTGTCCATGGTGAGAGGCGCAGGTCTGGTGTGGGCTGACTCCTCTCCCCCCGACTCGGTGCCTGTGTGTGTTTTCCTCAGAGGGTAGCTTCTCAGCTCCTGGGATGGGGAAATGGACTCTTACTGTTGTTTGTACCTACACACCGACTGGCAGATTAAAGTACTCTGCCTTGTTGTTGGTGGAATACTTCAAGGACCTTCACAATCTCACCAGCACTTCTTTCACAGGGGAGGCTGAGTCCAGGGACGTTGGAAGTGGTCCGCCCATAACACTGCTGTAAAGTGAGCCTTCACTGATGTGATTGGGCATGCTTACACTATGTACTTTACCACAGTCCCAGGGGGTCCAGGGATGGATGAGATTTGCAATGGGTTTCTCAAGGCTCTAGATGTTCCTGGTCTGTCTTGGTTGACACACCTCTGCACTGCGTGGACATCGGGGCAGTGCCACCGGACACTTAACTGTGCAGTGATCTACAGCTCTCACTATAGCAGTTTGCAGCTGAGTGTGAAGCAGCTGCAGGATAAGAACCTCCATATCTGAGGCCGTGGTCCTCAGTCAGAACAGGGTGGACTGTCCTCTCTGGGTGGGAGTGAGGTCTGGGGTTTGTTTACAAGTGAGAGAAGAATGGAGCGTGGGATTGAGACAGATGGATCGGTGCAACTTCTGCAGTATTGCTGACTCTGTGCTGGTCTGTTGTAGTGAAGAATGAGCTGAACAGCAAGGTGAAGGTCCTTGTTTACCAGATAATCTATGTTCCAACCCTCACCTATGGTCAAGCTCTGGGTAGTGACCAAAAGAACAAGTTTCTCTGCAGGGTAGCTGGACTCTCCCTTAGCAATCGAGAAAAAAATGGTAATCTGACAGAGACTGGCTCCTCCATGATGCAACAGTTTGGACATTTGCTAAGGATGCCCCTGGACCTATAGGTGTTCTGACATGTCCAACTACGAGGAGACCCCAGGGAAGACCCAGGACACGTTGAATAATCTATGTCTCTCAGCTGGTTTGGGAAAACTTTGGAATCCTCCCAAAGAGCTGGAAGAGGTGGCTGTGGAAAGAGATGTCTGGGCCTTCTTGCTGAAGCTGCTGCCCCCATGACCTGACTCCAGATGGATGGGTGGATGGATGGATGGATGGATGGATGGATGGATGGATGGATGGATGGATGGATGGATGGATGGATGGATGGATGGATGGATGGATGGATGGATAAGTTCAAATGCTGCTGTCCTACTAATAATAATAGTAATATAATAGAAATGGAAATAAATACAGAGAAGGGAAAATTCCTTCATAAAATGTCAAAAACTAAAGTTTGAATTTGGATCTAATTTCTTTTTCCTACTTAACTATAAAGAACATTTTGTCTAAAATTAGTTTTGCATTAAGAAATAACATTTATAGTGTGCAGCAGAATCAATGCAATATTTTACTGAATGACAATTTAAAATGTAAAATAATTATGAATATATCAACTACATCCAAAGAAAATATATTTTGTTAAAAGTTTGTGGTGTAGAAAAAGATTTTCCAACTAAGTTCTCATAGTTAAAATGTATTGATTGAGCCTGTCACGTTTTATTTAAATAAATTTGAAAGTAACTTTATTTCCAGTCAACCAAGACACGGTCATTTTTAACTGTAGTTCAGCTGAAATTCATTCAACCTTTATTTAGACTGGTTAATCCCATTGAGCCTCGAGGACTCGTTTACAAAAGAGACCTGATTAATGTAATCAGCGTGTAATATAGTGAAATATTTTGTAGTAGAATAAAGCGAACTACAGTATCTGCATTATATATATATATATATATATATATATATATATATATATATATATATATATATATTCTGTTTTTTATTTAATGTTCTCTCTCTGTATTTCATCATTAGTTTTATTGTGAAGCACTTTGTGACTTTTATCAGGGAAAATGTGCAAAAAACAAACTTCCCTTTATCATGTGAGAATTTAAAAAACAAAATGTTACATTTTTACCATGCAAGTTTACTGCTGTGAGACTATCCATTATATTTACCTGCTTCTTCCTTTTCAGGCCGTGGGGGGGTCACTGCATGGTGCCCATGTCCAGCCATCACTGTGGGATTAGATGAAGAACGTTGTTCTTTCAACAATTTTCTTAATGTCATATTTTATCTGCACTTTATTAACCAACTAAAACTGAATCTAACAGAAATATCAAAATGGACTAACACCTTGAACTTATTACTGAATTTAAAAAAAAAAAAGCCCTCATCATTAGTTTTTGGTACTGACGCAAAAACATTCATGAAGTGGGAATTTTCTTCATGAAACTGAAGTCATTTCCTGGTGTTCAGCTGAATACAAAAATGTAACTTATTACAAGCACATTATGTTTAAATGTCATGTGCAATTTAAATACAACTCCCTAGAATAGTTTTAAAAAAGCATTTATATATATATATATATATATATTTGAATGAATTTCTGTCCTGTAGCTTTAAAGCATCAGATTCTTGTCATAGAGAAACCTCACAAAAATGTCTATTGAGATCATGCATGTCCTTCAGTTCAAATGTTCATCCAAACATTTGCCGACCTCATTGATCTCACGTTGAGATTACGTGGTCCCCTCTTTATTATCTGGGTCTTATCAGGTTTTATTTATGGAGTTCTTGTTGCGCTGGATGGATTGTGGGGCAGGCTGACTTCTTGGACTCAGATAAGAACAAACGATAGGATCTTAGAAAAGAGCTTCATTATCAGATGAAAACTCTTATATGACAGCTATAGATGTTAGATCGTCTCCAAGAACCATCAGAGCTATTTCACAGCACTGAGGCGTCAGAGATCAGAACGACTTGCAGTGGTCAGCTATTTTTAAAAAAAAGTTGTAAAATGTTCAAACGTATTCATGTAAAAATTAGTTTGTGCTTCTCTTATTTTTCTTTTAAACATTTGCACTGATTTGTCTGAAAACGTTCGATTATAGGCCACATTGTTACATCAGAACCAGGATGCTCAGCGTTAATGCTCGAACTGGTCATAAGTTTTAGCCGAGTGAAACTGAGCCTGCTGATGAAATCTTAAAACTACGCTGAATAAAAACACTTCATTTTAGGGAATGACAAATTTATTTCAGGAAATGTGACATATTTAGGACAAACCCATTTTCTACTCCTAAGAAATCAAGACAACATTTGGAGAAATTAACATTTGTGGCTCATTTAAAGAGTTTTGACACATTAGTACTAAAAGAGCACATAAGTACAAACAAAACAAAAAAAAAAGTACAAAAAAAAAATCATGCAAGTTCAAACATACCGCCCACTACCTTGAACTTAAAAATACAGTGAGTATGAAGAGGAAAAAAATGACATGGGATTTAAAATCTGCGCTGCTTGCTATAATCTCCAGCGCCAGGAAGCCCCCGGGCGAAGCCCCCCTGGCCTCCACCAGGCAAATTGTTGTTTCCGGACCCCGACATCATTGGAGAACTCTCAGCTGTTATGCCAGCGGCACTTGCAGAACCTGAATTTCCACCCAGTGAACTTCTGTTCATGGACATGCCGTGGCCACCCATGTGCATCCTCATCTCTTGCTCTCTGTTCTCAGAGAAGTTGCTCCTGAAGCCCTCCTGCTGCCTCTTCATCAGCTCCTCGTTGTGCAGCCTCATCTCCTCCTCCCTCCTCCGGCGTTCCTCCTCCTGCCGGAGTTCAGCCTGCTTCCTCTTCTGCATCTCCTGATTATGGAGCTCCTCCATCCTTCGAAGCTCTTCCTGCCGCCTCAGCAGGTCCTGTCTCATCAGAATCACCTGATGCTCATGCCTGGCCGCTTCCATCTCCACCTCCAGCTTCTCCTGAGCATCCTTCATGTTGCGGTCCACCATCCCGTACTGCTGCTTCTCCATCTCCATCAGGGCTTTCCAGCGCATGGCGTACTCGTACTCAAAGGAGCCGGGCTGAGCAAACCGTGGTGGCTGCTCACGCTCTTTGTGATACTGCTGGTTTTTGTTTATCAACTTTTCTGGCAGTCCTTCATCTTCATCGAGCTGCTCCATTGGTTCCACTATAACGGGTCGAGGAAAAGTTGTCATGAGGTAGGAACCATCACTGCACTTATCCAAGGCTTTTCTCGCAGCTGGCTTTGTGGTGTACTCCACTATTCCTTTCCCCGTGGGCCTTCCACGGTCATCCACAATCACAATGGCTCGTTCAATCTGGCCGAAAATGGAGAAGGCCTCCTCCAGGAGCTCGTTGGACACGTACTCTGGCAGATTCTTCACAGATAGAGCAGCACCATGAGTGGCAAATCTCACTCGTATGGGCCTGCCTCTGAACACATAATCATCCAGTTCGGACCTGGCGATCTCTGCGATGATCCTGGTCTCCAGCCGGATGAAGCCGAAGCCTCTTTCCTTGTTAACAAAAACCTCACTGGCCTGCCCATACTTGGCGAACAGCTTCTCCAGCTCCTCCTCGGTGACCCCGGTCGGAAGGTTTCCAACGAACAGCCTGCTCCGCTGCGTGAATGTTTTCTCCCCGGGTTTCCTGAAGCTCTGCAGGTCCAGGGTTAAGGCCGCGTTGGGATTGGGCTGCTCGCTAGGCTCCGGCTGCTGCTCGTTGCCGTTAGCTCCGTCGCCAAAGTGGTCGCCATAGTCGCCAAAGTGGTCGCCAAAGTGTTCTCCCGGACGATTGGGTCCGTGGTTCTGTTGAAGACCTCTGTATCCTTGCATTTTTTATCAAGAGATGGAATACAGGTGGACAAATCACACGCTGAAAGCAGCTATCTCTTAGCACTGTTACAAACAGCAGCAAAATGGCGACGCTGTAACGTGCCGCTGAAACGGTATTGTGACCTCATATCCGTGCGACAATTTTTTTAAATTTATGACGTATTTTCTTTGCGACGTTGGCAACAAATGGAGAGCAAAATGAGATCTGATCTATTCTGGGGCTACTTGAGCAATAAACTATGGAGGGAAATTTTCTTATTGTCTTATAAATATATTTTATCTAATAGAATTAAAGAATTTGTATTTAAAATTTTACATAGATATTATCCAGTCAAAGACTACATTTGCCGTTTCTTCCCAAACGTCAGCAAAAACTGCTCTGCCAGTGTGAAGGTGAAAGTATTGACCATCTATTTGTAGATTGTTTTCATATTACAATATTCTGGTCTGAAATACAAGAACTGCTTACTAAAAAAATTAAAAAGTACATTGTGTTATCAAAAAAGCAAATTCTTCTAATATTTAATAATTCATTATTTTCTTCAGACGAACTATTTATAATAAATTTAATTATTATTTTGGCAAAATATTATATACACAAAATGAAGTGGAATGAAAAAATACCCTCTTTTAATAATTTTAAAGAAACTGACCTAAAAATATATATTGCCTCTATTGATAAGCTTAATTTTAATAATAAGAAACTTATAAGAACAAAAACTCTTTTTCAGAAATTTAATTTTATCCCATAAGCAGACCCCTTTGTTGTTTTGTTGTTTTGTTGTTTTGCTGTTTAGTTTTCTTTTTCTCTTTGTATTGCATTTATTGGTTTATTGTTTCAGACCCTCTGTTATTTATGCTTGAATTTTATCTTTGTATATTTACCGAGATAGTTGTATTCACATTTAGTTAAGAAATGTGAGGTCTAGTTTAATATGTTTTGTGACAGTTTTGTATCATTTGTGTGTGTGTGTATTTTGTTGATTTTGGCTTGGAAGAATTTTGTAATGTTCTCTAATTGAAATAAAGTTTAATTAAAAAAAAAAAAAAAGATCTGATCTATTCATTTATTCAACCTTTCATTTATACAGGCTAGCCTTTACTGCAGTTGAGCAGTATCTGAAAGTCGTGTTATTGAGTAAGAGATCAATTTAGACTGTCTTGCATTTTTAATATATTCAATTAAAGAAATGGGAATTCACGCAAGCCTATTTGTGGCATGTTTCTGCTCATATTCAATTAAAATAAGTTAAATGTAAGTTTAGGAAACTTTTATGTTTAAA